AATGTATAACTTAACCAGCTTAAGACACTGACCGTTAGTTTTCAACATCGTGCATGGAAGAACTACGTCATGTTTCTGGTTTGAAACTGCCTGAAGATTCCATATGTTTTGACACAAAGACAAATGCAGAAGCATATAACAACAGCCATAATATATAGGTGTATCAGATATGAGTTTCATCTATTGAAAAAAACATTCTGATATGTCTTTTTAAAATGTTTTGAAATTCTGTATGTTTGAAAAACAACAATAAACAAGCAAAATGGTATCGTTGCCATGTGCAACTGGAAAAGAAATTTGATACTATATTTCACACAGACGCTACAGTGAGGACAAAAGGTGATCATGAAATCTGTTAACATGTAACTTTCTTATCTGTGAAGAAACTGCCAAAGAAAAATCTACAGCTGTCAATGGCAAAGAAATTGCTAGACTCAAGTAAATCATGGCTGTTGACATTCTCAATACTTAATATCTAACAGAAGGGACAGAACTGATACTGAAGATGATGATGCAAAAAGTTTCTTGTTTTTTTTGTTTTTCCTTTCCTGTTAATGCTACCCCTGGAGAACACTCCTATCCATCATACACAGACACACCTACATCCATCCCAAACCCAAATACACCCCACCCATCCACAACAATCATACCCAACACAACTCCCAATCCTACAACCCACATCCACACAGCCCAACATCCCCATTGACCACCCCCCACCCCCAATTCTTTTTAACCACCACATCCACATAACCCAATCCCCCAACACCCATACTCATCCCAACAAAACCAACACTCAAATCAACACCCCCACTTCCTCCCAATCCCTGACCCAACCCCACCCACACATCCTACAATAATCCACCCCTGCCCCGCCCCTACACAACATATATTCCTCATAACAATTATAATTTCAAAACCAATGAAAATCTCCCCTATCACTTACCATGTGACTACATGTATGTTTGAAAGAAGGGCCTGCCAAAAAACCTTTCTCCAACATTAAACTATCAGCCCTCACTGATTTGTGTGTGACAGCAGTCTATATATACAGGAAGCTACAGAAAGGCCCATCAGTCACCACTTGTACAACACCAAGTTTCATCAAAGGCAAAGTCGACAACTTCCAGTTGTCCTTTGGCACAGTTCCACCAAGACAGTGTTTCCTAAAACATTACAAGGGAGCCACCAAAGGCAATGCTCTTCAAAATAAATCAGCAACATGAAAAAAGCTTTCGTACATTCACAGCATTAAAAAATCTAACACGAATAAAAACACTGGAACTGTTGTCAAATCGACAACAAACAAATAAAACCTTCCCATAAATCATTTACTGATATATTTTCATGTAAAAAAAACAATTTTCTAAGTTACATGAGTATAACATTCGTGAGACAAGAATACATGAAGGCTAAGAACAATAGGGTCCTAAAGTTCCCCTCAGTCTCCACCCACTAGCTTGCGGCTAAACATGTTCAAATAAACACTGGTAGCTAAGCATAAGTTACATCAATTATTTCTCACCTTTCCTCAAATATCCACCGTCCTTAAAACAATACAGGCATCATAATTGTGCTGGAGATGTGGGGCCCATCTGGGCCTGTGTAAACACACATGCTGGAGTTTTCTCTCCATACAAACCGATACTGCACACTGAACATATTAGGTGTATACTGTATATTATTGCTGCAGAACAGCCATACTGGCTTCGGAATAACGCCAATCAGTCAATTTCATTCTTAAACGTATCAAAAACACCCTGAGATTAATGACATTAATAACAGAAATTATCTATGAACAAATTTTTTTTATCTGTTACCTATCAATGGAACTAATATCACTTATAATTACAGAATGTCCAAAGAATTTATCAACTTGTTCTTTAGGTGAAGGTCACACAATTTCAGAGCCCATGTACCAGTACCATATTTTGCTGCTTTGAAAATTGGCAAAGCAGGGCATTTATTAAAACGATACACAAAAATCAGGCTGTAATGAACAAACTTTATATCAAACTTCGAAATTCAAACCTTGATGAGACTTGAACTTGTTTGATACAGTAAATAGACAATAATATATCCCCCTGCATTGCTGTTTTGTACTGTAATATACACAAGAAAATATGGACTGTCATGTCAATGTTTGGTCTGAGTAGGGGTGCTTACAAAGACTACTTATTTCATGTGAATATGGAGTGAGTGAGTGAGTGAGTGAGTGAGTGAGTGAGTGAGTGAGTGAGTGAGTGAGTGAGTGAGTGAGTGAGCTAGCGAGCATGGTTTTATGCCGCTTTTAGCAATATTCCAGCAATATCACTTTTGGAGACACCAGAAATGGGCTTCACACATTGTACCCATGTCGGGAATCGAACCCAAATCTTTTCGGCTTGACCAGCGAATGCTTTAACCACTAGGCTACCCGACCACCCCTGTGAATATGGAAAGGGGTTTTGACGCTTTTATTTACAGATTGGTCTAGAAGCTGGTCAGGTGGTGCTTAAAAAAAGCAGGGTGCTTAATACAGCGAATACAGTATCATAAATGACTCAAGCCACATGACTCCTTTACCCTGTCATTATTTACTACAAATTTGTCTTGAGAATGGATGTGTAATCCTGATACAACACCCTACTGGCGTTCTTGCAATGTGGAACTACATACTGTGCCAATGGTAATGATAGACTGCTTGGCAAAAGTCCATTGAGGACTACATAATTGAATAAAATCAATCTTGCTATAGTCTGATGACTGTCAGTCGTAATTTTCTCTTTCACACTGTTGTAATGCAACCTTGTCAGTAAAATTACTTCTTTGTGGAGAGGCAATTACATAGTCTCGAGGTAGCCTTGATCTACTCACACAAATGTTAATTAATGTATATAAAAATTTACTTTCTCGTTTGTACTCTTATGGAAATAAATATTGTTGAAATTATACCATGCAAATACTGCACTAAAATCAATGTCTACTGGTGCTGATGATTGTTCTGGTAAGATATGAATGGACTATCTATTTCCTAGAAGATGAAGAACACTATCTGATGTCTTGTATTAAATATTCAGATGTAAGGCACTCCCTGCTTAATTCTCTCTTCTAAAAAATAATCACAGAAATATTTAATCTACCTTTTTCAAATAATAAACCAGGTAACAGAAATAATCTGCTTTTGTGTATACAACTTCAAATAAATCTAAAATACTTCTTATACATAATCCTTGGTCATAACATAATATCATATTTTATATTCATACTTTGTTTTGTTATCCATACCTATTATGTATCTGTTTATATAGTTTATTGAATATGTAACTGTTTCTTCATGGAACATTTGTGCAATAAAAATCTTGTATCTTGTATCTTGTGATGCAGATTTCCATAATGAAACACCACTTGTTCATATTCCTTTTAAGGAAAAGAAGATCGCAACATTTAAAAGTCAGTCATGACAAGGACACAGATTCATCCTGACTTCTTCTGTTCAAGGTATGTGATTCTTGGTTGGTGATGAACTCCATCAGAGTCCTTTAAATAACTTCATAAAAACATCAAGCAGCTGTTTTGTTAAGAGATTGAGTGTCTCTGAATGTGAGATACCTCATGTACTGTTGCCGATAATGCTTCCAGTCATTCTCAAATATCTCCTCAGTCATATTTCATGACAATCACGCCAACAAAAAATTCAGACCTTTCGCCTTCAAAGAGGTATACAGTTTCAATTCCTTTTTCCAAAAAGGAAATATTTCTACAGCAACACGAGAAGTGAGAGACCCCAATTGGCAGTGTCAATACTACTGGATCTCTTGTTGCAGAGGAATGCTGTAACCAGGGTTAGGTCTTGGGGTTACTCGTACATATGAGAATGCAAAGGACACTTGTTCAAAGCATATTCAGTTTGATCCTGTGTGTATCTGGACCAAGGTGCCTCCATCTGTAACACCAGATGCTGTTGCTGCAAAGGAATACTGTAACCTGAGGTTAACAATCATTGCGATGTAACCAGGTGTGTAAGATCATCTGTGTCCCCAGTCCATCCGAACAGAAAGAAAATACCATTACAAAGCTACAAAATAGTGCACACACCACAGATATGGAAGAACATGATTTGCATTACATTAACTTTCACGGAACGCACCATGAGTATGTGTGTACATTGCAATTACAGTCAAGGTTGTGTTTCTGCTTCTAATCCTGAAATCATTGCAATCAGCTTACAACTCACAATTCAAGATTATAACTGAGTGAGTGAGTTGAGTTTAACGCCACTTTTAACAGTATTCCAGTCATATCGCGGCGTTTCAGCTTAATGTGGGAGGGAAGCTCGAAGAGTTGCAGGTCTCAGACATTTACCACTTCAATGAAACCCACAAGCACGGGTATGGTGCTGACAAACCTAGAAACATAATCAGGGCAAGCCCACAATCATAGGTTTCTGGTGTGCCCAAGGGATGCAACTCTGCACAGCGAATCATGGCGCCTTAGACGACTGGACCACCCATGCCCCCTCAAGATTATAAACCTATCACAGATACTTACCATTGTTTTGGATGTTACTGGGTCTTTTCATAATAACCTCTTAGGAGGTTTTACTTTTGTCTTAGTAAGGCCTCATCCTGGTTATGAGGTTTTACATTTTACAGCAAGACCGAGCATGAAATTTTACTTTTTCTTGGTAAGACCTGATCAGTAGAGAAGCAGATGAAGTTTGGACTTAGTGTTTCCAACTTCCAATGTTCTAAAATCGAAAACAAGAATTAAAACTTTTCCTTTATGGATGACGGAAATCGAACCCACAACCTCCTGTTCAGGAGTCGGGTACTCTGAGCCTTAGAAGAAGATGTGTGGTTCATGAGAAGATATTGTGTTTAGCAAATATTTCCAAGTCAGATATATTCTACAAGCTGTCGTAACACACTTTTGTGCATAAATACACAAATATTACTAGATGTTGTTTCAGCAATTCATAAGTTGGATGAAACACTCTTCGGGGAGTAAACATAGCAAAACCTTCAGGCAGCAGTGACCTCGCTAGTAACACTTTGGGCAGCAGGGACCTCGCTAGTAACACTTTGGGCAGCAGTGACCTCGCTAGTAACACTTTGGGCAGCAGTGACCTCGCTAGTAACACTTTGGGCAGCAGTGACCTTGCTAGTAACACTTTGGGCAGCAGTGACCTCGCAAGTAACACTTTGGGCAGCAGTGACCTCGCAAGTAACACTTTGGGCAGCAGGGACCTCATGAGCATAACTTGGGTCAGCAGTGACCTCGCTAGTAAAACTTCTGGCAGCAGTGACCTCACGAGCATAACTTGGGGCAGCAGTGACCTCGCTAGTAAAACTTCTGGCAGCAGTGACATCACGAGCATAACTTGGGGCAGCAGTGACCTCGCTAGTAAAACTTCTGGCAGCAGTGACCTCACGAGCATAACTTGGGGCAGCAGTGACCTCGCTAGTAAAACTTCTGGCAGCAGTGACTTCACGAGCATAACTTGGGGCAGCAGTGACCTCGCTAGTAAAACTTCTGGCAGCAATGACCTCACTAGCATAACTTGGGGCAGCAGTGACCTCGCTAGTAAAACTTCTGGCAGCAGTGACCTCACTAGCATAACTTGGGGCAGCAGTGACCTCACGAGCATAACTTGGAGGTAGCGTCCTCAATTTTTATGAGTCGGCCACTGCTTCCCTCAGGCTTTACTATGTCAAACAAAACATTGGAGTCATATTTTCTCCTTTACTTGACTCAGTAATAGTCAATGTCTAAAAGAACCAAATTGTTAATATTAGTGTCACAGTTCCATAGCAGTGCTATATGTATCCCCTCCATGTGGTTTCTGTAAAGATGAAGCTTAGAATTTTTTCCAAATTTGATCTTCAATCCACCCAAAGTTTGAAGCTTATCCCTGCAGCTGTTTCAGAGAAGTTGAAAGTCAGCAGATGGGGAACAGACGACAGACATTTTTACCAAGCCAGAAGTGAAAAGTTAACAGACAGACCAACAGACAATGGACAATGCTCCTTGCCTTTAGCTCACTCTGGACTTTGATCTTGTTTCCCAGGCATCAGTCAAATATCTACGCATGATGGATTATATTTCTGCTTTAAACATAAAATGAAAGTTCTGACAGTGATGTAGGACTTTTCAGAAAAAAGAGACTGCCTGCGATCCCCAAATTTTAAAATGTTATGGCATGAGAACCAATTGCTGATAGCTTTCAGTTGCAGCTTATGATCGCTGATATTGGTAGATTTGCAGGATAATTTTATTCCCCAAACATTTTCTTCGGAACCATTTTTAGACTGAGAGCAAAAAGTGGTTTGACCTCTGGTCGCATCATACCAAAAGAGGGTACCTGTTGTTTCCCTGCCTGGCGCTCTGCATTAAGAAGATAACACAAGGACTGGTCGGCTTGAAGTCAGTATACTGTGTCTGAGAGGGGTATCCATGTTGAACACATGGAATCTTAGTGGACAAGCACAGCAACAATAGTCCAGACTAGTACAAGTAGCCGCACGTACGGCACGGCACGGCACAGCACAGCACGGCACGGCACGGCACGCACGCACGCACGCACGTGCATGTATACCACTATGTTAATCCCCATCTCACCTCACTTCTGAACAATTTTAACTGACTGCCACTTTGTGACATGTAACAAGTTATGATTGCTGATACTTGTAGAGTTTAGAGTTTTTGCAAGATATTTTCTTTGCACAAACATTTTCTATGAACCATTATAAACATGTCAGTGAAAGTTGCTGTGAATCCTTAGCAAAGGGTACTGTTTAGTTGTGTATGTCTTGCATTCCATTATCTGGTAGTTTTATTGATTCTTCAAAAGCAGAAATCAAAGTATTGTTTGGCTCACTGAACAAGTCTACATAGTCCTTCTGCTTGCCTTTGGGGCGGTCAGGTAGCCTAGTGGTTAAAGCCTTCGCTCGTCACGCCGAAGACCCGAGTTCGATTCCCGACATGGGTACAATGTGTGAAGCCCATTTCTGGTGTTTCCCGCCGTGATATTGCTTGAATATTGCTAAAAGCGGCGTAAAACCATACTCACTCACTCACTCTGCTTGCCTTTGAACAATACTCAAACAAGAACACGAAGAATGTCCCATTCCAACAAGAGTCATCAAAAGGTGACAAATCCCCCCCGACCCCCACAAAATGGAAAGAACAAATCGTCTGACTGTTACTTGATAAGAGAAGTTCTATCTAATCTGTCTGTCCTTATACAAGAGAGTTCTCAAAACAATACTATGGAATGGGGATTTAGAACTTTGTATTTCTACATCAGGTACACACCACTATGAACAGAGTCAAAATCAAACTTGTTGCCATGGAAACAGAAGAAATATAAATTCTAAAAATCCCTAAATAGCAAAAGGCACCTGTTGATAACCTAGTATTTGTGTGTACACAGTTTCAAGAAAGAGTACCATTTAGTTTTAAAGATATGGTCTGGACAAACTCACCACCATGAACAGAGTCAAAGTCAAACTTGTTGCCGCAGAAACAGGAATTTAAAAAAAAAGTCAAAAAGATTTCTTAATAGCAAAAGGCACCACTTCAGCCCTTGATTTGGATGTTTACTTTTAATAGTTTTTTAGTTCAGCTCTGGAAACAACATCTACCTCCGTTTCAGCTTTCCATGGAAACAGGGAAAAACAAAATTTTGAAAAATTCCTAAATAGCAAAAGGCACCACTTCAGCCCTTGGTTAATACATGTACCAGGTTTGGATGAAAAGTCTTTCACAGCTGTGCTACGGAAAAGACACCTACCCCACCCTTTTGTTTTCACGGAAACTTGGAAAAATGAAAATGTCAAAAACAGATAAACAGACGAAGACAGACGGGTTGTCGACTATATGCCCCTGCATTATATGACAGGGGGATAATAACGGAATTATAAATGAGATATTCCAATTTCCACCATCTGCCCACTTTGATATGCTGTAAAATGAATTCATGAAACTGAACTAGATGCTGACAAATAATGAACCATACAAAATTCATATTTCTGGACAAAATCTACCTACATCAGACTTAAGTTGTCAAGGAAACTCATGTTGAATGTATGCATGATGTCATAACTGTTTGTACCATGCCCTAGCGCCTGAATATGTACAATAAAATTTTGTATCTTATCTACATCAATCAGAAAGGTGGTGCCTATTTTATTAGAAACATATTATATTGTTCATCACTGTTGGCAACATAGGACCTTGAAAGTAGCCCTCTATCTGGATGAAGCATTTATTTAAAATCATGAGGGTCACAAGTTTGTTTATTTGTTGCTTCAGTATTATTCAAACAATATCACAATGGCCCGTGAATAACTGGGTCTTGGTTTGACAAACCAGTGGTTGGTATTACGAGCAATGTCCAACATCAGGGTGTGAGGTGAGGTGAGATGGGGTTTAACGTCGCGTTCAAGATTATTGCACCTATATAGCGACGTGCATGCATGTGTGTATCTGTGTGTGTGGCTGCTTGTACTAGTCCGGACTGATGCCAGTTTATAGTGCTAGCCCACTGAGATACTATGCTGTAGTTTAACATGAATACCCCACTCAGACACAATATACTGAATCCAAGCCGACCAGTCCTTGTTTTTGCCCCTTAATGCCGAGTGCAGACAGGGTAACAACAAGTACCATCTTTAAATGTGTTTTGGTATGACGCGGCCGGGGATCGAACACCGAACCTTCCGCTCTCCAGGCAGACGCTCTTACCAGAGACCACGGAGATGGTCCCACCAGGGTATGAAGGCATGCAGTCAACCAAGTCCCAGAGCCTGACCACCAGCCCAATTCAGTTGCCTTCAATGACAAGCACAGGCTGAACAGCATGTCAATTAACAAAGTCAAGGCCAGAGAATAACCAGTCTTGATTAACTGCTGAAACAGATTCTACTGAGCCTAAAAGGCAAAATAGTGATGAAAATTATATGAATGGATCACTTAAAATCAGTAATGACACCAGGTGTTTGCAATGATGGTAAACATGTCCTGCACCACCGGTAGCCCCGCCACCCACACGATATTCGTAAAAAAGTAAGTGTCTGTTTTCTGCCTCATGAATACATATGCCTGTAAACAATGAAGTCTGAACATAAGCGCTCTTTAATATTCAATAGGTACCGACCCCAAGGGAGTCTGGGATACAGTTTTGTACCCAAGCAGCCTGTGCTCCTTGTAATAGGCAACATCATGGATTGGTTGTCAGGTTCTGTGTCTAGGTTAATCGCATGTCCTCATACATTGATGGCATGGGTAATTGCTCATAACATCAATCACTGGATTGTCTGGTCCAGACTCAATTATTTATTTCGCGGCCTTCAAAGGTGGAATATTGCTGAGTGCGATGTTAAACAACATACAATGAGATGCAGAAACCCATACACAATGCTTTCAGATATAACCTATAGCTCTATAAACTATGTCTAGAATCATGTACATCACTGTATCTTTTCTTCAATACCATTATAAAATTGTATTCATAAACAAATACAATCAATGTTTGATAGTGTTCTCAGCAGGCACTCAAATGAAAATTTGAATGTCTTTGGAGCTGGGAATTTTCTACCAGACACAAAAGTATCCTTTCAATACATTCTATTCCATTATTTCTGCCTCTGACAATCTAACCATACAAACAAGGAATTCAGTGAGCATGAAGACATGGAAACAGATGAAAGCTAGGCCTTGATAACACCTACACATGGGGTGTGCATCCTACAACTGACTTCAAGTCCAATGGCCATCCTACAGACTGTAGTAACTACATCCAAGCATGTATACCCATACATCACCATCCCAAGAACAATGCTGTATTCTACCTATGCACTTGAGACAACACCATCTCCAGCAACATACAAACAAAATGTGTTCCACAATGCTGCTCACAACACACACACACAAACATGGCAGAAGCTTACATTCCCAGCTGGTTCCATAATACTACAGGAATATATTTCAGAACACCACACTGCCGGCTGAGAAATCCATTTAAGTTTCAGTAAGTCAAACTGATACCCCAAACAGGGGGACGGCAGCCAGGCAGGGTTCACGCTCCAGTTTATCGGGTCAATCTATATGCTAAACTTTCACAGACATACTGTTAGATTTTCACACTTACCTGGTTTGCAACGCTTTGGATCGCTGGTGTATCCTAAATCCAAAACATGACTAGTCGGATGTGGTGTAAAAATGGCTACACTGGGTTGTATTTTTGTGTGGAGCACTCAGCAGTGAACTCTAGGCTTACTCCCTTGGGCCAAATTGGTGTCAGATTTCGTGCAGTCTAGCATTAGGATGGTTAGCGGTGCATCTGATCCCTTTCCTCTCACAGATAGGGGGTCGGGGTGGGGAGGGAGGGGGGCCACTTTCGCATATATCACCACTTGAGGTAGGGAGTGGTCACATGATGGTGATTGGGTGACTGTAACACTGGAGGTGTGTAATTATTTTCTCTACTAACCGAATATACCATTGTATAGTACTATTCTTATACACAATGTGACAACATACAGTAGTTAGAATGCCCACATCATAACTTAAATGGACAAGGAATCTTAGACATCATTCCGTCCGAAATACCAAAAGGAAAAGATAGACAAATGATTCATTTGCTTTAT